AGAGAGAGAGAGAGAGACAGAGACAGAGACAGAGACAGAGAGAGAGAACCAGTGATATGGGGGGTGGGGTATGTGTGTAGGGAGGGGGTAGGTGCCACAGAGGATAGAAGAAGGTATCAGATACCTTGAAACTGGTGTTACAGGTGGTTGTGAGACCCTCTGTGGGTGCTGAGAACTAAACCCATGTCTTTTGAAAAAGTAGTAAGTGCTCTTAACTATGGAGCCAGCCATCTCTTCAGTTCCCACACACAGATTTTTAAACATAGGTTCTGGATATTAATTTCAGGTCTTCATGACTGCCCCTAGTAAGTGCTTTACCAATTGTACCATATCCCTAGGTGACCAACTACCATTTTTTAGTGAATAAATGATAGATAATAATAGAGAGAATAAGGAGAATTTTTTGAGTATGTATAGGGAGTCTATTTATGTTGTCCAAGGTAGTTTTGATCTTATGACAAGTGATTCTCCTGCTTCAGCCACCCAAGTATCTGGGACTTCAGGAGTGTACCTTTGTGGACAGCTTGAGAATATTCTTTATTAATACAGACATTAGTTGTTTTTGCTTGCTTACAGAGCTCTATCATCCACAACTCTCCATGAGATAGAATGTCACAGTGAGCATGCTGACCTAGACACACCTAGGAAGTTGTCTGACACCAAAGCTTGTGCCCCACACCACCATACTCTGCTTGCCTGGGCGATGTTGGCCTGGGAGGCCAGGCGGATCATAATGTCCAGTTTCTCCAGCTTCACGTAGATGGGGTCATTGTACTTCACAAAGAAAACTTTCATTTCATGCTTCAAGATTTCTGGCCTGGTGGTGGGGCAAGATGCCCAGAGAATAAAAAAGAAGCCATAAGACCCATGAGTCGTCATTCCACATCTGCTGGGGAATTCCTGGGCTATAGGTGAAGCTTGATGTCCAGGGAGGCAGAACAATAATCATGACTGTGTGGCCATAGGTAGTGGTTCTTCCTGGCTACAGCTTGCTGGGTCACATCTCAGGAAGGAAAAGTAATTTACATGGATAGTAGGCAGCAGGCCAGGGTTCTAATCCCAATGTGTGACCTCAACCCTTGTTTCCTTACTCATGAAATGAGAATGAATTGCGCAGGAATAATTACTAACCCAGGCCTGAATCTGGTGTGTATGAACTCAAACTCTCGGAACATTCATCCTGTTCATTCAAAGATAAAGACGGCTGGCTATGCCTAGACCATTTATAAACAATACAGTTTATGCTTAAACCCTGCTTTCCTTCTGCAGTCCTGAAATAGTGTGCCCCTATTGCCCTATTGCCCCTAGGTGCCCTGTCTCAATTTGGCTCCTTGGGAGGAAACATTCCACACTTGTTGCTGTTCTCTGCTGACCTTCCAATAGAGGAAAGCTCAAGAGAAAGCCTTTCATGGATTCTTCTATACTCTCCCTTATGTAGGTCACTCTACTAAATCTCAGATAAGGAACACAAATGACTACTGGGAAATGCTAGCCAATCTCTGAACACAAACAGACTCCTGCACAATAGGTCAACTGTGGGAGATGGAAGCATCTAGCATGATCAATGCCTGCTATATGAAGGCACTTGCCAATAGGAACTGTCACCTGCTGAGCTATCTAAGTGTATCTACTGCTCCTCCCTTGCTGCCTGCTGCCCTCAAATGGTACCACGGGACACATTTTTCTAAGACAAGGGAATATTGAGAGGTTACAAAGCTTGCATTTGTCACAAACTAAAAAGTTGAGAACAAGGTAAGAGGTACCATCCTGGTTCCTACTTCTATGTCCTTCCCAGGATAGAAACTAATAATTGTAAAACAAAGTTACAGCCAGGGATGAAGCTCTGTGATGGGGACAGAGGAAAGAGGAGTTCAAGGGTCTGTGTTGCCATACAAACTGTGGAGAGCCTGGCTGAGTAAGGAGCTTTTGTGGTGCTCTATGGGGGAGAAAAGACTCTGAGATGAGTAGTAGGAAGATGACTTCTACAATTGAGACTTTACAAAGGCTGCCCAATCACGTCAGGCTGGTCCACGTCATGACTAGGTGACATAGACAACTTCTTAAGAGATTGTGTTAAATATAGCACACAGAACCCTTCAGGCTGGTCTTGTTCCTGTATTCTAATAAATGCAGTGATCCGAGGACACTGGTATATAGAGACCCACACTGTAACAGCAAAGCCCTAGTCATATCACGTTACTCAGAGACTTAGAACACTTTACCCATGTTTACTCTCCAAGTCTTCATAAATGTCCCAGCTCAGTAAGTATCTCTGTCCATCTAAGAGACATTAAGAACCAGATTGCTCCTGTAACAAAGAAAGTATGCTAATTTCCTAAGGCATGACCACAAGGGGCCCTGTTTACTGTGGTCCTGGTTCCTAGCAGCAGACAGTAAAAATGAGTTGCCATTGCTAAGCCCTGAGTGCAGAGAGGCTGGAAGGAGAGTTTGGGAGGTGGATCTCACCACACTGCAGGAACCCTGCCTTAGAGGAAGGAGAAGGCCATTCCAGAGACACTGCAGACCCACTGCTGCTTATGGAGTTTCAGACCTTACCCATCAAGCACCAGACCCCTTCCTTGGGCACAGTGACTGACTTATTGGAGTCATCCTTGGAGGAAGGAAGCAGGTTGCCCAGCATTCTGTTCTACTTCTCCCTTCAGGCTTTGAGGCTGATGCCAAATCCATGACTTCTCACCATCTCTAGGGTCTCCAAATTCAAGGATTTTGATGATACCTATGAACTTTGTCCCCAAGCAAACTGCACACATATAAAATCTTCAGATATCCCGAAGGACTCTACAGACTCTGAGCCACTAAATGTCTGGGCGAAGCAGCACCATGCTTGCCTTTACTTATTCGCTTTCTCTAAGTCTGAGTCAGGGCTTTGTAACATTGACACCCTGACCTAGGCCAGGTAGTTTCTTATAAGTGTCCCCTGGGGGGTAAAGTTCTCTGGTTGAGAGCCCTGCAGTACTCTTTAGACTTCCTGCCTGGTGACAGATCAGTTTCCCTTGAAGGTCCCTGTCTCTAGCATGTAGCAAACATGTAATGGCAGTCTCTGTACCTTTTCTGCACGATGAGGTTGATGTTGCGCAGAGCCACATACTGCAGCTCTGGCTCTGCTGACAGCAGTGTGACCAGAGGAGGTGCTAGCTTCTTGAGCAGTGTGCCATAGTAGTCCAGGTCCTTGGACAACATCTCCATGAACTTCATTAACACCTTCACAGCAGACAGCACCACAGCAGAGTTGGCATGGGAGAGCCTAGGAGTGACCCTTTCACAGATGCTGGGGTCCAGCCATTGCAGTAGTGCAAAGAGAGATAGACAAGGGAAAAGTCCTGGTTCACTTATCAAAATAGCATGTCTTTTTTTTTTTTTT